TAATTTCTGCTTTACAGGTCTATTTGGAAGGAGTGCACCACCAAAAGCCAAAATACCGTGTTACTGTGCTAATTATTGGAATAGGCTTAATAGTTGGTGTTACCTTGTTTTTGCTTCTTTCATTTATATTATGGAAGGTAGGTTTTCAGTATTTGTCAGTTTTTCTCAAGTCAGAACTTCACACTGTTTGTGGATCTTTGTATCTGCTAATGCAGGTTAAAGAATAAATAATATTTTATTATGATCTGTCCTTTCTAAAGAAATATAGTTCCTCTTGTAACTTGTGTTTTTTCAAAATACTTCTCCATTTTCCTTCATTTTATCTTCTGCATATTCTATATCTTGTGTTATTCAACACTGCAAACCGCTTCCCTTGTTATATATGGCAGCTCATTTTTTCAAGTGATTTATATAATTTAATGGTATCAAATGGATCATTTTCTGGGATGGTGCTCCACATTTAATGTCACTTGACACATGATGACTAATAGTCTACAACAGTTTAATGCCAGAGTAAAATATTTAAAGATTTTAAACTGCAACATAAATGCCAAAAAAATCCTGTGTGTAAGTAAAAAAGAAAACTATCAAATACGCAGCTTCTCTGATGAGTGATTAAGAGATTGTTAACTTCTTTACCTACATGCGGACTTTCTCCATCCATCATTTTTCCCAGGGAAGTGGAGAAATGAATCAAATTTAACAGGAAAGTTTTATTACCGTTTCACATTTTTAAAAATACTGGGTTCTGTGAACTGTTACAGTTCACAAGCCCACATGTCCTTACTCCTTGCAGGAGAGTAATTAGCCTCCTAAAAAGTAGAAGAAAAGGCAAACCCACTCTTTTGATGGATGAGTAACACTCAGTTACGTGGTATGACAAAGTAATGGTAAATACCGTTGTTCATAAACACCATATAGATATGCATTTTATTATAGTTTATCTTTTATGGTTTAGATTTGATAAGAAAGATTTGCTGACAACAGATTCCAAAATTATGTATTTCAGATTGGCTTTTTCAAAAGGCAATACAAGCCAGTCCCTCAAGACAAGAACAGAAGAGACAGCTGGAGTTTTACAACTGGGAACAAAGATGACTAAGAATGCAAATAAACGTTTGATTTTTAAAATGAAGAATTTAAGATTCAGGTTAATTCACAGGAGAAACCTCAGTGACACGAAAACTGGTCTTGAGCTCACTCACTGTTACAAAATACACTTCATTTCCTTGAACTGTATGGAGGACTACACCTTAGAGTACTGTTGTTTTTCTAATATGAAAATGGTAAAACTGTTTGTTTTGAAGTCTCACAGTAATATCTGAAATGCCGTATATGTATCTGGTTTCAAGCAAACGGAAGAACACTAAAGATAAAGAGAAGAATTACTTACCGGAAAGAAGAATTTCTAGAATGTTTGGACAATCCTGGAAAATAAGATCTCAAACACATTAGCAGGAGTTATCTTCCTTTTCAAGTTTCAATAATCTTTTGGTTAGACATTCAAGAAGAAATTCTCCCTCATCTTGCTTTGGCAGTTTTACAAGGGTAAAGTAGCTTAAACCAATAGAAGGACCGTAAGTAGAGCGCACGGATGTAGAAAACAGCTATCAGAAGCTCTCTTGGGCTTTGGCTTCACAGGCACAGCCACAACACTGCACAGACTTAGACACCGAGGCAAGCCAGAACCAGGAAGGTCAAAGGTAGATTCAGATCAGGGAATTCTGTGGGATAGCCTAGATATGCAGCTCAGAATCCTCACTCAGCTGTAGAAAAAGTAATGTATTGGAGATCATAATTTGTAGCCATCTTTAACATGGTACTTCCAAGCATGACAGAATTACTTGTTTCATCTTTTCCTTAGATATTGCTGCCATGGTATTTTGGATTTCTCCAATGAAACATTTCTATGTGGGGCTTTTTAAAGCAAGTATTTATTTTTATTTATTTGAAGATTTTTCTATAGTACTTAGCATAGTAGTATTTAGTACTGGCATTCTTCCAGGATCTGAAAAAAAAAAATAACAAAACAAACAAAAAAACAACTTCACATGATGACAAAACAGCGAAACACGTACCCAAAAGACTCCAAATGCCAACCTTGCAGGGCCAAACTTTATCTAAAGAATGTGTCAGTCTTTACCTGAAAGTACTTAAGGAAGTCATTTGGAGAGCTAGCTTGTGTTCTTGTGAAGTTTTCAGATAAATACCATCCAAACAGGCATCCTCAGAAGCCACTCAGTGGAAAGGCAAATGACTGAATAGAAACATGGTTCAAACCACTGCTCTGCTACTACAGGAAGTTTCTTCAGCTAGATAAGTTTGCACTGCCACCTAGCTTTGGTGAAATAGTACGGTCCAGGGAAAAAGACTTACTTTGCTCCCCAGGTACAACGGGAGAAGGTACAACTTTTTCAATAACTGAATTTATTGCAACAACAGTATGCAACAATATGGCCTTTCTTGCTGTGCCTTTGATGTCTTTCTGAACTGCAAGGAAAAATTAATGTAATATGTACATACACGTTGAAGCTGCCCCATTGTATGGGAATTAGTCTGAGACTCAAAACCAATACCGAGTGCCTTCAGCAAGCACTTCTGCTAATAGAGTGTTTGGGGCCATAAAAGCCACATTGTCCACAGATTCAAAAGGTATTGGGGACCATTTTGCTATTTTGTTTCACTTCATTTGATGCCAAAGATGTGGATCACTCTAAAGTAAATTTTCTTTCTAAAATCTTCTGCAGTGTAAGGACAAATGAATGTGCCTATGTTTTTCTAAAAAAAAAAAATCAAAGTATGTGAAGAATGAAATATTTACTTGCAAGTCTATGAAAATATACATAAAATGCTTATGTTACAGATGGCTTTAGTGAATTTTTGCACTTTAACCAAAATATCTTTGAACAGAAATTATTTTGATATTACAGCATATTGTGAAAAATATACCTCAAATACTGGAAAAAGCATTAACATTCTTTTTAGTACAAACAATGCAAAGAAGTGAAACTAAAGCATTTTTTTTAATCTTTGAAATAGTTTACATAAGTCAGTACATGTGATAATGTTGCCTCAGAAATTGTATACTTCCTATGCAGATTTTATTATTAAGATGTAAATGTTGGCTGCCTGTTCTTAGGATGTGCAGCAAAATTCAATTACCTTTTATAAACCAGGTTGACAAAAACGGATGTACAATGTCCTGATGGTGGCAAGGTTTTAAAGTATCACTCAATTTAATTTTATTAAAAAGAACCCCAACAAGGTAAGCACATGAATGCTGTTTCTTCTGCAAGTCGAATTATTTTGTTAATTTTCAGTTATGTAATAAAAACAGTTAAATCTACTAAAGGTAGCTGGAATCTTCTTCTTAAGCAAGTTTAGTTTGAATTCTCTTAACTTATTAGAAATATTCAATGTGCTGTAGTATCAATTATAGTAGTTTAACTGGAGACTACTCACTGCAACTCCAAGTAGTATAAACTGAAATGAGGTTCCAACTGGACATTAGGAAAAACATTTTTCTCATGAGGACAGCCAGGCATTGGAACAGGGTGCAGCGAGGTTGTCTTGTCTCCATTCTTGGAGGTTTCAAGGCCAGACTGGATGGAGCCCTGAGCAACCGGATCTGATCTCATTGCTGGACCCACTCTGGGCAGGAGGTTGGGCCAGAGCCCTGCTGGGGCCCTGCCCAGCCCAAAGGATGCTGTGACTCTGGTTCTGCTCTGTAGCCAGTAACTCCAGTGCAAAGAGCAGAACCAGCTGTAAGATTCCTACAACAATTGCCTCTGAACCAGGCTTTTCATTGTCTGTGGCTCTGGCCTTTACTACTGGCCAGGTTTGCCTGTAGAAACTACATGTGATTTCCAACAACAGCTTGTTCTTAGGAGACTAATAATCATCTGCATTACTTTAGGTGAGTGCTTTTTTGCCTTGCATGTTTATCACCGGTAAGATTTTTTTTGCAAGTAGTATTTAAAATATCATAGCTATAGAGCCCATGTGAAGGCTTAGGGCTTTGATTTAACAAGATTTTAAGTTACTAGATTTCACATTATACTCAACTGCTTACTGAAGACAGAACTTAAAGCAACTCATTCTAGCCATGAGACAATGCAGCTTTCACACCATTATTTGTCAGACACCTTCTGAACGATTCATAGACAAGTGAACAGGAAAACATTCATTATCTCTCTGGGCCTGCAGATGGACAATCTTGTTGGTCTGCTACTTTTCAATGTCTCAAAGAAAGCCAGTTCCCAGAAATAATATAGCCTTAATTTGCTGTCATCTCAAATAATTGTATTTAATAAGTTACAAACAAACAAAACAAACCCAAACACACATGAAAATTATATTTATGCCCTATAAGGAAGTTATAAAAATTTAAGTCAGCTTTAAATTATTTATCATAACTTTATTCTCAACAACAACAAAAATTAGCTGAATATCATTTCAGTTCTAGGATAGATAAAATATTTTAAAATCTTTATTTTGTACAAAGAGTAGGCTTTAAAATACATTTCAACAAAGAAAAGCCATATAAGACATCAGCATATTATTTTGTATTACTGTTTGACTAGAGACAATTTGAAAGCAAATAGATTAAGGCAACATTAAAAATGATACCTAGAAATGGAAGTACTTGATTAAAAAAGTGTCTTTTAGCCACCATTCTTCAGCATGAAGTGGTACCATACCTCCACTCACCAGCTCTATTTGAGCTGAGTTACCTAACAACACAGATAGCAGAAGCAGACTTGAAAGTATCTCATACTTAATTTATCGCAAAACCTAGAGTAATTTTAAAGGAAAAAAAGTTTTTTTTTTCTATTCTGATGGACCCTTCTCAAACCCCAGATTTATGAGACCAGCATAATCAGTTTTCATTTTTTCTTTTTAAGCCTAAAGTTTCTTTACAGTTAAATACAACCTGATAAAAATATATAACTTGATAAAAATTTTAAACCTGAAATATTACAAACATCCCAGTTAAGGTGTTACAATAACTGAATTCAGTGAGTGAAAGACTGGGAACTTGGAAAGCTGTGCATAGAGGTGGGAAAAGGATTCTTTAATACAGAACTTGCAGTGTGTCCCTTCTATATGCAACTGCATGTTGCTTGGGAACTCGCCAGGTCATCAGTGTTCACTCCATAGAGATTAATAAGTTGAGGATGCACCCTGTGAAGTGAGGAAGTCAAACTTTTATCAATTTAATTAACTCATACAATGGCGTGCCATTGTGGGAGGGGCAGGGGGAGAACAAATATGTATGAACTGCTATATGGAATAAAGTCAGGTGAATTACATTTTCACAATTCCTATAAGAGCATCTTTGGAAGTATATATATACCCTCTAACGTGATCTGCCTTTTACTTCACATACCAGACTGTTCCTCTGAACTCTGTACCTTCAACTAACCCTGTGTACATTGCTGAAGAATGAGCCACCACTGATAAGCCTCCTTTTTCTCTCTCTGGTCACAGTCTTGTTGATCCTAGATGTGGAGACTATTCTCAAGCGGCACTGTTTCCCACAATTGAACAATTCCATGTTTTTATTAAGGTTACACACAGGGATTTCCTTATCCCAAAAGAAGCTCCTCCCAGGAGTCACAGACCTTTATATACATCTGTTCCCCTCTGAGAAGAAGAAGGATAAAGTAATGGGCAAGAAAGAAGAGGTGGAGCTGGAAGCTGATGAAGCACCAGAAAGGAAAGGCCAAGTGGGTCATAACAAACCTTTCCAAAGATGGGCACAAGGCAACAGGGCAAAGGCCCAAACGGTGGCAAAGGGGCTAGACTGGGCCATGCACAAAAGCCCACAAAAGCACCATTTGTACAGTATTTACAATGCCCAGTTTTGGTGTCATCTGCATTATACACATTTAAGATTGCAGTAGTAATCTGTTCCAGGCATACAGTCTATAACTTAATACTTGGCCTTACCGAACATGAACTTCTGATGCTTCTTTCATTAAGTCTCCATCTATATTCCAAGGGTAATTTCCTTCTGCAGCAGCAGCATTCAAATATGTATTTTCTTTGGCATCAAGCCCCATTTTAAGTCTTGGTTGTACTTTTACTTCTTGAACTGTGTAGGTCTCAACAAAGGGAAAATTGAACTAAACAAAACACAGACATATATTAAGAGAAGAAGAAAGATAGAGGTGGTAGCTTAGCAACAAACTGGATTACTTGAAATTAAAAAGGTTGGTTTTTTTTTTTGTCTGAAGTAAATGGAAACACTTAACTCTAGCTTTGACCACGTGAGGCATTATATATTCCAGCTAGCATTTGTAGATTAACATGCTATTTTTATCCTAAATAGTGCCTCAGAAAAAATGGTAGTGTTCCATTTGCAATCCCTTATCAGACTTGCTCAATTTACAGGTGAGGTGGTATAGTTTGCACACTCCAAAATAGCACATGCTTTCAGAGTACATAAAAATCCAAGCAGATTTTTTTCCTGTGCTCTGTTCATCATTACCAGCAATCCTGTCCTAAATGAGGCTAGTTAGAATTCTAGTAAATGGTCATCTTAAATTTAAAGGAGGGTCCATATCTCCTTGTCTAATTTCTGTCTACAAAGGTAGAGAAAAAAGCAAAGCCCTCCTCCAAAAGCATAACTGGAAAGCAAAAAATATTTCCTAAATGCAGCTGTTAATGCTGTCACATGGAATTGTCATCAACCTCTCCCCCAAACTCCCTGAGTGTTGATGAACTCAAGCCTAAACCTTCTTGTAAAAGTGATTTCACATAATCCTGAAACATTTGAATGAGTACTAGTGTGCTTAGGCTATGTACTGGGTATTTAGGACAGCAATAAGGCTCTGTGTTTGGATGATTCATTTTTCTCTTCAAAGACAGAGTAACAACCACAATTTTGAAATACAGTTCTGCAAACATTCATAACAAGATGGAATGCATACCTGCTAAAAATCAATGATCATAATCCACTGCCACCATCATAGCAGGCAGTGATCTGCTGAAATTATGGACTTTACTTATTTCTTACAAAGACTTGCATGATACCCCCCCGGTCTGCATTCTTGTTGCACAGCATGCATTTCCTTTATTGTGGTGAAATGGTTTTACACCCATAAAACTATGGTACAACACAAATACAATTTAAACCACAACAGATGGGCTGAAATAGGCTAATCGGTATTAGTCTAGTGATTTAAAAAAAAAAAAAAAGCAGATAAAAAGGGGGCTAATGTATTCTGACAGGAAGCTAAGTCTCCTTACGAGGATGCTAACATTAACTCTTGCAGTATGTCTACCTTCATGATTAACTGTTCTTTTCATAATCACCAGAAATAAGTTAACAGTACCTGATTTTTTACGCTGGCATATCTTTTCAGGTGTTTTATAAACTCTGTTCGAGAAGTATTTTGTACAACAATAAGAGCCATGCTTCCATTATTCAACCTGAAAAGCAGAACAATTTAGTTTCTAAAGGAAAATCCATTCATCTGCAAGTTTAACAGGCCCTTCAAAAGTCTGTATTAAAAAAAAAAAGCTACCAAGAGTAAATTAATAGAATAGTCTCAATTTTTCTTTAAATCTTTTTTGCCAACCGCCCCCCACAGATCAACATGAAGTATTCAGCTGTTATTTAGCATCTATGTATTTATAGCATACTGTGTAATAATAAAATTGTACTCCCTTATTAATAGCTATAATACATACAATTTTAAAATCTGCTTTTCTACTTAACAGATGATTTTTAAACATCGGAGATCACAAATTTGTCTTTATGCTTTTCTCTCCAGCAGAGTATGATTACCACAAATGCTGTGAGGCAGAGCTTTACCAAGAAACCATTCCCATGATGCGTGCAAGCATATCCCCATCATATAACCAGGGCAGATGGGTTCATTCACCTCCTCCATTAACACTCACGTTGGCCTGACAGAGATCCTGATCTTCAACTATGCCACTACTCAAGGTCTCATAGAAATTCCCAGTACAGGTCTACTTACACATTCACAAGCACATGGAAGTTAAAAAATTACAGGAATTTTGTACAAGAGCCATATACTAGATATTAATCAAAAAGATACCCTACAGTGTAGATGCCAAATGGTATTCAGTCACCATTTATATTGTAACATCGTTGAGAATTTGGCTCAATGAGCTAGAATCAATTCACAGATTCCTTAATGCAACTGTACCTTGTCACAGAAGGTAATTACCTGAATCACAATGCAATCATTCTTAAGTCCCATTTCAGTTACAGAGACAAATCAATGTTCAACAAGAATAACTGGCGAACATGGCAATCACTGCTGAGATTGTATTTCATATAGGGATCATGTATTTCATATCTTCTGAATATATATGCATTCATATATAATTTCTTTATTCAGCATGTATGCTTGGAAAAAATATTTTAAGAATGTTTAAATAAAATACTTCCAGCCTACCACCACAGATCTCTCCCCACTCATAGTTCTCTGGCCACTGAACGACTGCATCAGGAATGTTCTCAAACTATGATACAGCACAATCTAGGAAGATAATTTTTACATAACCATTAAATCACCTGGCGTAGCATTACTTTGCTGATTTTGAAAACAGCGATGGTGAAATTGAAAAAGTTGCCTCCCTATATTTGCTGCAATGAAAGGGCACAGCAGGCTAGTGGGCAATGCATTTGGCACTATGGCCTTTTATCTTCAGAGATGTCTAAGAATTCTCATTAATTCTCTTGAAAGTCCAACCTGCAGCAAAGCACAACACCTATGCTGTGAGAAAAAAAAGTCTCACATGGCTCACATAACGCAGACAGTTAAATGTATTTTGACATGTTTCTGCAAAATTAAACTAGGATAACTACAGTTACTACCAGCAGCCAAAGCTTTCATTCCACTTCAAATGTCTTCACATGGCAAAAACCTCTTGGGGAAAACAGGACAGAGTGAAGAAACCTAGCTAAGCTTAGCTGAAGCTTCCATAATGGGATGAGTCTCTAACAATTAGTGCAACATTTAGGTTTCCTTTGTTGAAAAGCTTTACAGTTAAGATGCTATTCACTATGAGAACCAAAGCACCTGCCTAGCTGACTGCATGCCTAAGATTATTTTTAAAAAGAGAAGGGGAAAAAAGGATGTCCTAATATGAAGAATAGGAGGATCCAATGTGCAACTACACTGCAGGAGAAACAGGCTCAAAGTTGCAATAATTGCATGGTGTTGTCATAAAATTCCCTGTCATGGAGAAACACGTGCCAGAAGAGATGGGAAGAGAAAGCAAAGTCAAAAAAAGACTAATTTATTCTATTTTTTCTTGTCAGAATTTTTCTGCTGACCAGTATATAACACACTAAATGCTGAACAGCATCAGGGCACTGTCTTGAGGTATATGAGGCTTGGCAGGACTGCTGTAGCAAAGAAAAATTCTCAATAAGAGTTTCATCAAAAACGTGGTTCTACATTGATTCCAGGAAGTCAAATTCTACCAGATTAGCCAGTAATTTTGAAGAAAAATACCTGATCAGTTCTAAGCCACATCTATTTCCAGCTAATGGTAATCAAATGAACCAAAACAGACACATTGCATAAGTTTCCCTGAGTGCTGGGTTTTTTTTTTACAGATACACACACATATATACATATGAGATTCTGCATTCTCTTTTGAGGGACCATGTTGTATTTCATGTACAACTACAAAGTTTGTACTTGCTACTCTGCTTAATCGTCACCTGGATACATCAAGTACAAATATTTATCACCTGATAACTATTTTGATCACCACAAAGTACATTCTCAACAATGAGCTAAAGGCAAAATGAGTCAATATCAACAACCAGATTACACACTCATTTGTTTCCCAAAACCCAACACATAGAAGATGAATTTCCCAAGTCCAGGGGAAGAAGGGAGGGGGAATGTGGTTAAAAGAAAAAAAAAAAAAAAAAAGGATGACAAAGAAGACAACTGTGAATTTTAGTTCTTCATGACAAGAGAAAGATTCATACTTCATTTTTGCTGGATGCAAAGCAGAAGATGAGGAGCATCTTTATATTTGAAAAAATAAAATCCAAGAATAAAGTTTCTACATATAGCCAAATCCTATGACAGATGACTGCTCAATGACTACCTCAATGACTACTACTTAAGTCAGACTTGCCAACTAATTTAATCACAGCAATTATCCACTCATTATTCTAGTTAGACTGCTTGACCTCATTTGCCTGATCCAAAAACTGATTACAATTCCTGGGATTATCGAGTCTGCTGCAGTCCATGCTCCCTCCCCCATTCCAGAGGGACTAGACTACCTAAACACAGGCTTGTATTCTCAGAAAAGCCAAGGTCTTAAGGTAAGATGTCAGAATTTATAGACATGACTAATTCTCTAAACCCCTACTGACCTCGTATTAGGTGCCAAGCCTCTTGGTGCCATCGAACACAGACAAGGGATTGCCATAATGCTCACATTCAGGAAGTGACCCTGAATTTTGTGCCATTGATCCTTGCCACCTAAATATAACAGAGTAATTCTATATTATTTGAGTTTAACCAGCCACGGTTTGCTTTTAAATAGGAGGAAAAGCAAAAACTCACCTTTTTTTTTAATTTTCTCTTTCTTCTTTCTAAAAGGGTGGAAACATATAGGTAAAATAATTTAAAGTAACTTTACCACATTTAAACAACATCTGCTTTAGAAAAAGTAAGGAAGAAAGGATTAACGGAACTGAACCAACCAATAATACTGAGTGGAAGACTGCTTTATAACAAATCTTCCATAGTCTATAAGGAACATGTTAGAAAATGTACAAGTTTGCAGTTGTCAAAATAATTTTAAGATTGTTTTACCTGATTATCAAATTTGAACAAAATTAAGAATTTGTACAATTTTATCTTCAAAGACACATATTTTTGTAGCTTTGGAATTGTTTGACTGTTTTACTTACCTGTCATTATCATGAGAGCCTTCCTGTGGAATTTGTAGAGGTAGAAATGATAATTCACATTCTTCTGGCCTAGAAAAGTATTGATATTTACTACCATGTAAACCAATATTCTGACTTCTAGACAGACTTTTATCCAAGTTAAGATGATTTAAGAAGATGCTAAAATACAGAATTTATCTCTTCTTTAACTTGTAAGAGGGATATACATCACATCTGAGTTAAATCTGTCTGCACTTAAGTCAGGAAAGCTAAGCTACTGTTGTCTATATTTTTACCACACTGATTACTGCATTTTCCTCAAGAAAATCAGAAATACTAGAAGAATGTAACAGCTGATGGCATACTTGAGATCTGTCAGTGTTTTGATAAAAGCAAAATCCTTCCGCTGATTGGAGGGCATCCAACGGTGTTTTTCAGCCAAAGCTAGAGTCCTTGCACCAAAACCAAACATAGCTGAAAACCCAAACCGTAACAGCTTGCTTGGAGTACTGAAAGTACAGACATCTACTGGTTGAATATGTCCTAAAATTTCAAAGATAAAGGTCAGAAATTACAAATGACATCTGTATTTCAAACGGAATACAACTTATTTTCACCCGATTTAGCTGCAGGAAAAGAACTCCAGACTCTTCTCATTTTAGGCAGTCAAGTTTTACTAATGGAAACCAGAATAAATCTAGATATAATTAACACTCTATAAAAGTAGTCATTTCAGAGAACAACACTCAGATGCTTCAAAATGTTAAAAAAGTTATGGCGAAAATTTGGCTACTTCATCAGGCTGCAAAGGGTCTGACTCTTAATTGTATTCAAATTTTAAACAATTGGTATTAAATAAAATGTAATATTGCTACATAAATATTTGCAATTTCACCAAATATTTGTAATGGCTGAACATTTTGCTGGAGAAGATATGGGAACTCTTAAATATAGGTTTTAAATGCATTTATGTTTACAGTTATAGAATTTAGACATCTAATTCTGTTCAAGGTAGGGTATATAATTTTTTTCTGCAGTAGAACTTGGGTGGTTTCCATTAGACTGTCTCTGATTTAAAAAGACAATTTTAGATTTTTGCCTGTAAAGGCTTGTGTATTACTAAGAAATAGAGCAAAGGATGTTCCACTGCTGAGTGCAAGGTCTAGAAAACAGATACTAAAGATGGACCTTCACCATTATTCTCCTTTTTAATTTGGAAAAAAAAAAAAAAAAAAAAAAGTGCTCTAAAGAAAAATTGCTTTGAGAGGAATATTAACATTACTTGACTATTTGCTGTTTCCTAAGACCTAAACATAAGGTTTGCACTAGCCACATACTTTTTTTCTTTTAGCATAATTACATTTTCACATTCAAAACCCTATTTATTGTGCAGACAAAATGGCAAGTGATACAGTTTTTCTACTAATAAAGCTTTCTTATAGAAACTGTTAGTATTTAAAATAAATGCACATGAAGTTAAAAGATTAATTATACTTTCTCAGAAATATCACAACACCTTCCTGAAAAGTCCAATCCTAACCACTTACTCAAGCTGAAAGTATTGTATATTTTCCTATTGTCTTCAGAAGGTACATTAAATTAAAATAATCAAGTGATTATGCAAGCAATCATTGCATAATAACATGGAGTAACACAATCCACGCAATCAAGTCTGGAAAAGTTTATGTCTTGCATTAAAAGAATATCAGTAATAGGGCATGTATTCCAAAATCAGACAGAATTCCATGGCAGGTTTTAGTTACCAGAAGATGAGGTCCACAATTTTTGCTACTAACTATACTCAAAGAATCATAACCTTTCCAGTGCACTATAGATCAGGATAGAATCATTCAGGTTTAAAAGTCTTACAATATAGTTTACAGCAACATAGCATAATGCTATGCCTTTACTAAGCAACTGGTTATGACAAACTTCTAAATGATGGTGTATTATTGAAAAATCTTATATGTAAAAATATTTACCCATTACAATGTGCAACGTTGCAGTCACTGCATGCTTAATACCATGGAGAGTATGAGCCAATATATTCGTAGTACCTGTAAAAGTGAACACAAACTGCTGTAAAAATAAGATACAGAATAGCAAGAAAAAATATATACAACATTTTTTGAATGAAGAAACTGAGACATTTATTGCATTTTCAAAAAAAGAAAGCCTCCCCATAAATTACTTAGTCTTGGTAACAGAAATGCTGAATAGTACAAAACCAACAGTACTAAAACCATTAAAACTTGCAGAGATCTATAAAATCTTCTCTGCAAATTCATTGATAAGTGCCATAAAAACCAAGAGGTGGGGAGAAGAAAAAATTTATTTTTCAAAAATTGCCTTTTTTTTTTTTAAACCATCTCCTTAAAAATCACTCCTATACCTATGTGCTGTACTGAGGAACTGTACTGGAAGGCAGGTTATCTGATAAGATAAAATTGGGGAATATTTTTAAGTTGCAAAAATAATATAATATCCAGCAAGTGTAAACTGTATGTTTCCCAGTCAAAATTCTACTAGATCTAGTCTAAGATAGCTGCTGTGCCTCTTGCAGGTTACATTTTAGATTCTTAGAAGCAGTAGTGAAGAAAATTATTGCACGTCAGCTTTACATATGAGAACACATCAATGGCTGAAGAATGGAGCAAACATGGACTTTGATGTGTGTCTGGCAAATTGTTGACTTGCATTCAGTGTATTAAAATTGACCCATCTAACTTGTCTTTGTCATTGCCTGGACATTGACAGACCAGCTCTACTACTGGATAGCCACTGGATAGCAAAGATTAATTTATTACAAAACAAGGGAATGAGTAGTAAATCAGACGGTAAACAGAAAAAAAGTCAAGAACTATCAATGTCAGCATGGAGTTGGAAGACAAGAGTGGAAAACTAGCTATCAGTTTGTAACAGAAAGAAGATGGTTCTAGAGACCCACGTTTGGTGGTGACTGATATGTCAAGCCACTTTACCTGTGTAAGAAACATGGATATACATGTAAATTTTGCCCTTCTGCTTTAACATATAGGACACTGTGTCCCTGTGTATCAGCTAACTTTTAAACAGCACTTTATTTTTAAAATCCTGAACAGGGAATGGTTGTGTCTTTCCTAAATGGGTACAGGTTTAACAGAATTTCAAGTTGCTTTTCTCATGGATCACACCTCTGGCGTTTCTTAGCCAAGCAGCAGGGCCATAGGATTCACTTCTGCAAACAACAAAGAACCAGAGTCTGCCACCAAGTATGCAGAATATTGAGCTTTTTCACATCACCAATTAAGGGATGAATAATTCAATTACAGATTAATTAAAATAACAAAAATTACAAACAATTTAGAACCTAACATTCCACAAAGGAATGAGTTCAGTTAGATTTTCATATAGTTTTCTTATGGCTTGAATTTTTTAATATGTTACAGTATCAATAGACAATTCTGGATGCTAAATTTGCCTTAAATTTTATGGAAACATTTAAACTTATCTTTCAAAAGTCGGGGAGAGAAGAGAGGAAAAGGAAAGACCATCACATTTCAAACAAGATGCACTCAATATTTAAATAAGCACTTTAAATTGTCATGTACCAGACTGAAAAATTATGCTCATCCCAAAACTCTGCAATCTTTGCCGTCACATTAGTGGTAGGAAAAAAAACCCCTAAATTTGGAAAGAGATGTACATAGTTACATAGATATAAAGGCATCTTGTTATTCTTACTCAGGAGTATATGCTTTGATTTTTTTTCAATAATTTCTCCGAATAAGAATTTATAAAATAATAAATAAATAAATAGATAAACTTGTATCTCAGTATCTCACAAAGCACCTGTTACCTCCTTAGAGCACCTTAGTCTCTGAAAGTAATTCAGAATACTCAGAATCTCATGAAAAGCCTTCATAATGTCAGAGAGAGGAGCTCTGAGCAAGGTTCTCTGAGTTCCTACTATGTGAAGGAAATAAGTAAGGTATTTATAAAGCAGATACAAAACATTCTTTGAGGTTTACCTCTCCAGTGGTACATGGAAGAAATCAGGTTATGTGCAGTTTTATTCTTTGAACAATTAAAATGAAATGTAATTTCATTCACATATTTCTCAGAGTTTTATAGGTAACTATACTATTAATTTCTTCCTCCTTTTCCTAAAAAAAAGTAATGTTTAAATAAAACCAGAAAGTTGGGATTCTGAAGTACTTCAAAAGAGGAATTATATGACAACTTCAAAAACTAAATGCAAGTCTTTGCTTTTTTCCACCCCAAAAGAAAGTCTCCCTAGATAAACTAACAGGAAATGCAGTTTAATCAGAATATTACTATTTCAATCATTTATAACCAATAATTTCTATTCAACAACTCAAAAGTAATTTGAACTTTCTTTTCTGTACAATAATCATTAAAAAAGAAAGGCAAAACTGTAGCTCCAGATAATATTTACTATGCAAAATAGTGAATTTTTCAATCCAGTGAACATAAAATACAGTTCTATTCAGAAAATTTGGGGACAAAAAAAAATTAGGTGTGACCTAAAAAGTAATTCTTCCCAGAATAATACAAGTATATGCCCAACACCATTTAATGTTTGAATTACTTATGACATTTAACCTCTAGATCCAACTAACTCTGCCTACCCAGTGAAGCTAGCTAAAGAAGTAGCTCAAAAATACTCAGATATTTACTTCAATCAAATTTTTCCAACCCTTTCAACTTTTATGGGAACCTCTGCAAAACAAAGGAAATCACGTGCACAAAGAGCAGATCATTACAAGTCATGCAAATCATGTTTATTTCCTGTAAACTGACACCAGGGTAGCTGTGCTTCTGAAAAAAAATATTTTTCTATGTCATTGAAGAACCTGTTAATGAAAGAGCACAAGGCAGACTATACTTCTGAAGATCAGGCTAGGTATGTCCTAAAACTGGGATTCTTTATTTGTGCAAAAGTAATTTATCGATACAGATGGCAGGAAGATAACAAATGACCATGGCTGAAGTCAATACCAATCTTCATACTGACTTTAATGAGAGTTAAATCCCAGTCTTACTGAACAGGATAGGCACAAGAAATTGCATCCTTCTCTTAAATCTGTGGAGCTCATTAATATTTGCAGAAGTAAACAAGGCAAAACCCTACCCTTCCGTGACTCCTGGGAAAATAAAAAAAGTTCTGCCTGTGTTCAAAAATGTAAGTAATGCATCCACCCTTCCACAAGTTGAAGATAATGCGAAGTAGAAAATACCACTACCTTGTCTAAAAAACTCTCAATACATGCCTACCCACATTTTGATCCCAATAATGACTGAAGAATGTCTCGTTACCTACATCTTATACAAGCAGGATGCCACACACAAAAAAAGCTTATAAACAGAACCAAAACAGTGGACAGTTATCATACAAAAAAATACTAGAATATAAGCTTTGCTGATTTAAGTGGTGACTCAATAATAGTGGTTTTAATGCCATTATTCATCTTCTCAAGTCTTCTAAACCTTTTCCTCTCCTATGTAAGCTCAGAATATTATTTACCAATAACAAGATGGTTCCCTTGAACAGCAGTGCATTACTTCAGAGACTAATAACCTTCTTTGATGCTCATGTATGGGCTTGCACCCCTCACAGACTACTAACAGTCCCAATTTTAGATCTCACTCCAACTACTCAATTTACTGTAAAAAGGTTTCATCCATACAACTCCAGCATCTCTGTCACCAACATTTTTTTTAAACAGAAACAAATAGGATGTCATTATTGAAAAAACATAATTCTGTTCAAAATATTATAAACTACTTCCTTATTATAAACCTCCTTCCTATGAAACGTTCAAAAGCATCACAGAAAGGACAAAGTATCTGCAGGTCATGTAAAGCATGACTGATGAAGGTACCAAACAGAAACTGTAGAGAAAAAAATTGTCCTTGGAATTGCAAGCACTTCTGCAGTACAATTAACTTAATTAACCAGACAACATGAATATTCATAAGGCTGTTAATGTCTCCCCCATCCAAACAGATAAATGTGATGTAATGACTTCCTAGTCAAGCATAGCTAAAATTCTGATGAAAACTGCACCAACATTTTGGTTCTTTGCCTGAAATATCACAGGAATTAACAGTCCCTCAGTAATATTTTATCTTCTGAATTAACTGGAAATCATTAATTTATTTAAAGAAACTCTTCAGGACCAAAAGGTTCACAGCCATCAGACATAGATTGTCTCTTGTTCTGTAACAACTGGATAGCTTTTTTAATGTCCTCCCAGTTCCCCCTCCCCTTTCTCCCATTCCCCCTCCGTACTGTTTCTTAGCAGTAGTTCCCATAGCAACACACACTCTTGCTAATGGCCAGCAGTACAACTGCAGGCTTCCCCACATCTCATCCATTTGATTTGGACCAGAATAAGGCAGCTTAATAGAGTATTTCAGGAAAAACACACTCCCCTCTGGACCTTTCTCTTCAGGAGGTAAACTGTTTCAAGCTCCTTCCCATCAAGTTGGCTAAAACTTCAAAATGCTGTCTTAACTACTTATAACAGAGGCTAAAACCAGATTTTAAGCCACTCAAATAATGCTATTCTGTAATGCTTTTTCTATTCTTACTCAGCTGGAAAATCCTAATAGTTTGGTATTCTGGAGGAAAAACAAATTAACTGACCATTGACTTCCATCTTCTTCACATACACAAGTATCATACTTATCTGTTTCCTGACTACTTTTTGGAATATCAGTAATACAGAAACAAAATAAACTATAGATTATTTTTAAGAACCTATTAAAGAGTTTCCCACACTGTCATTCTATAAAGTGTTCTCACCCTCTTTTAACAAAGTCTATGGCATTCTGTGTAACAAGCCATACAACATTCTTTTGGGTTTACAAATCTTTTTTGGTCATGACATATTTTTCTTAACTTGAAGAGAGTAAGCACTAATGATGAAGCACAGTGACCTAAGCACACCCAGACTCCATGGAGTCAAGTTCTGGAGAGATTCCATCTCAACACCATCAAAATATTCACAGCAACTGAACTGAGAAGTGATGATCCAACTGTTGTATTAAAATTCATTTCCTTCATGTCTTTGAGATTACTCCATCTTTTACCAATACATTTCCAAGTTGTTGGGGTTTTTTTAACTTGAAAAAAGCTACTGTAATCCTGCATTTTTACAAGCAAGGAGTCCCTGTCTTAATGCTGCTTTTAGAAGTGCAAAGCAATTCAGAGCACTTAAAACCTGCTTGCTCAGTTCAGAAGCGACTTGCTCCTTTTTTTTTTTTTTTTTGTAGAAAACTGAAAACACTTATTTGCTGTTCATCTGGCTGCAGGAATTTTTTCCTTACTAGTTAAAAACATCTGAGAAATTGCATCAAGTAGTCACATCAATATCCACATCAGAGGGTAGTGTCCATGCAAAAATACCCTTCCTCTTTTAAAGAGAAATTATGCAGTCACCAGTCCAGAATCAATCCTGCCTATACTAATTCTAGCTAAGCCTCCCTGCCTGGCCCAATTTATACTCTGAGAAGGGCAAATAGAAAAATTGGGAGGAGAATGGACATACACACCCCCCAAAACAAACAGGGAGGGGTGGAAAAAAAAAAAAAAAAAGAAAGAAAGAAAAAAAAAAAAAAGCTATGAGATGCAAGTACAAGACAGGAGCAAGAGGGTTTTCCAAGAGAGATGCATACATTTTCAGGTCTGTAGAAGTAAAGTAGAGATAAAGCAGTTTTGCATGCACAGTATTATTTATTATGATCCACAAAATATACTCCTGGGACACCATTTAAAAATAGAACCTAAGCATTAATCCAACTGAGAATCTGCCAAGAAAACAGGACAGAGAAATGAAACAGCATGGCTTGTGGAAATTATAGAAAATAAAGTTTTCATTTGGTATCATTTCTGGCAGCAACTAAGGGAAAAACTTGATCTTTGCATGATCAACCGAAAATTATTTTAGTTTTCTTCTTCCCAAGCTTCTTCCTTTAGGCAAAGAGCTCATCAGTGCCATTACTATAAATTATCATAATGATTAAAAATCTAGTCATTTGTAATCAATCTAAATCACTAATTTAGGTCATTTATTTAATAGCTCCCTTAAGTAACAGAAGCTTTAGCACCAGCAACTGCCTTTAGTAGCCAAAACTGTAAAACATGCCAGAGGGACTTAAACCAGATGACTTACAAAATGTAACAGTACCTTTTAGTCTTACCTGCTGGTATTACTCCAAGAGGAACCGGTGCTCTGACAGGCTTTGGTATATAGTCTGTGTCTTTTCCAGCATCTATCTGGGCTTTAAGTAGTAGACCATGAGCAACTTCACTGACAGATCCATCTCCACCGACACACACAACCCTATCACAAAACAAAAATGCTAAACAGTTCAAAATAAACCCTTCCATAGCTGAGCAAACAAGTGGAAGGCAGCTATCACACACCATCTGCATAATATTTCTAATAGCTAAAACCCCTTCTTTCCTTAAGAACAAGCAAGTGCTTCACTGTCAGACCAGCAAATGTTAACTAACCAGATATAAGCATCTTTATTTATGCCTTCTTCTATCTGAGTAGGAGTACATATATTTAACAACTTACAAAGTATTTCTTACCTTATCACACATTATGCACGTGAACTGATCAGATGGAAGAGTTAAGCACATGCCCAAGTGCCTCAGTGGAAAAGTTCTTTAAATCTTTCAATGCTGACCCACACAAGCATTACAATGCTTTTTGATTGCACTTATAGTAACAACTCACCAAATATTACAATAAAATTAAAAATACTTGAAAACAGCTAATTCCACACACTACGCAGGCAGTTGAGGGATTTAGCAAGGTATAAAACCCTAGTGCCAGCAATCCTTTGCATGAAGGTACTTAATCACTGCTTCTGGAGCATGTAATTAAACTCCCACCTGCTGTGGCTGTAGAGAGGAATGCATTATGCATTTGTCTGTAGAATCTGTTACAGCAAATGTCCTTTTTTTTCTGTTTTTGTTTATTTAAGTAACTACTAAAACGATTCTCCAAGTTAGTAATGCTTGAAAGTTAAACGTTTGTAAGGTAGGCACATTTTAATTATAAAAATAGTGATAGTACACTCCAAGCATTTACAATATAAATGTCATATTTACTTTAGAAGGCACTTAATTAAAGTATCTTTTTCTCATGAACGCAATTGTAAAACTGTGACCAATATCTAAACCAGATAAAACTGGTAAACTCTTTAAAAGAAAATACTCATTTTGTTATTTAATGTTTAAATTTAATTATCTCAGCCTCTTTAGCATTTTTCTTCAGTTCTTATTATTTCCTAGTTATTTTTTAATTTCTAAATTTTTAGGAATATTTCCCCTATCTAGCTAAATACTGCTCACACACACAAAAAAACCCAACCAAAAACCCAAACCACACCACACTAAAACCACCAAATGAGTGTATAGAAAAAGTTTGGAGCACATTTTCTTCCTGCTTGCAATCAGGAGTCATCTCCTGTCTTTTGTCTCATTTTTGGTTTAGATTGCTTTATTCCTAAGACTTAGAAACTTCTGCCCCAGCAGCAAAACCAGTTAATCTTCATAGTGTGATAAATTGTACACTGGAAGGTCTTATGTGGATTGTCTAATTTTTATTAATTTAGCATTAATCATCAAAAGTTGCCTTTTTGGCTGGAAACAGAGATACTGTCAGGGACCATGGATTCCAAAGCTAATCAGCGAGAACCTACTATGCATAAGGAGTAGAAAGTCTTGAGCAAACAGATTTGACTAAGACCTTGATAAAGGCTTCTTAGAGTAAGAAACATCTGTCTAACCATTAGTCTAACTATCAGACACAAGTTTCTCAATCAACTATTCACTGAAGTCTGAGTAACTGGGGCTACTCTAAACAATATCTATAATACTGTAGGCTCCTGATTAGGGAAGAAATACATGCAAGCTTATCGTGTGCTTCTGACACTGTACAAACAAGAAAATGCAGCTGAAATAGCAGCATCACAAATGCATTCTCTCTATTTGTCACCAAGGCTTGGACACAAGGCAGGGAAAAAAGCACGCTGACACCTTGGATAAGTACCTAGATCTCCAGTGTTGGTAAGAAAACAAAAGTGGATAGCAAAAAAGGTGGAGTATGTGAGATAAACGACATATGCCTGTGATCTTGCAAAACAGAGTAAGAACTGGAGAAATCAGAGAAAATAAATTATACCTAGAAACCAACAGCTTTGACAGAGAATTAAAACAGTATTGCTTACAGAAAGCACTGAGATACAAACTTCCAATTTACTACTCCAAATAGTAAGCTTCAATTTACTTCATACGCTGTTTAACATGTAAGGAACCATAACTCCCTCAGAGAGAAATTCAAGATCAGAAATTGCATGTTGCTATACCGCTTACCTACTATAATGAATTAAAAATTATTGTGGCTTGCCCTTTATACATTTCTACTTGAATTAGCCTTTGGTCAGTCTGAAATAGGCAACACTTTAGAAGCACGAGCTGAGTCAGAGCAGCAGAGTAACGCATGCAGGCATGGACTTCAGTCCACACCTCACTCACCTCCAGTTGCTTTGGAGCTCGGGCAAGGCAGATCAGGTCTGCATGAACTCTGCCATGTAAAAATAACATAAAAACTACCTTACCTCTTACCACCACATACAGTGCCTTCCCCAGCTAAAAGGAGGTAGAGAAGTGCTATTGTATTTTCTAAAGAGGGAACTAAGTGACAGGTATAGTATCTGAGATGAACAAAACCAGACAGGAAGCCAGGGAAAAACAGGAAAGGACTGAAGCCTGCCAAGTCACAAGCAATGCTGCTCAAGAGGCAAACAAAACTTCTCAAGATTTAATGGAAATAGTGAAAAGACATTATGTCAGGTGGCTGCTGGGATTGCTAAAAGTGTAATTTTTCATCAGTAGGACAATTTCATTATTGTGGAGTTAATTTTCAGTTAAAACCAGATCTCATACATTTTCTGGTTTATTTTTCAATAAACCCAAATTGTCACTAAAATTTTACTTGGGAAGGACTGAGGTGGTTTTGTGGGCCTATAAGATTTTTATACCTATGGCAAAAATTCTTGGGCTCAGCAGCAACAGGGAAGTCACAAAGGACTTCACAGGACCATAATCAAAAGAATGCCATAAGCCTTTGAGCAATATGAAAAAGAAAATTCCAATTTAAAATATTCTGTTCCTGTTCTTAAGATCAACTCTAAAGATAATGCAGAAGAGAGAGATTAGTGAAGTTTTCTCTTTCTTTTTCAAAGTATCAGACCTTTAGTGTAATATGAATTCCAACCTCAGCCTATTAGTCTCTGTAGAAAGCACCCCAAGTTCGCTATTTAATAAGATATTTTTCTGTATTGTGCTTTATTGAATGAGTACATAGAGGGAGGACAGGCTATTTGAGAAGTTATAAAACTCCTTTTCAAACACTTCAGAAATTTCATTTTTGCTCATAAACTCTGATAGTAAAAGCTACTTAATTTCCACATGAGAAAAACCCCAACACTTAAACAGCTAACTTAGAATGGACAGGGATATTTTCACCTCAGAAATCTTAGCATTATATTGACTTAAAAGCTATTTTCTTCCAGCTTCTTCTGTTCCTATTTCCCCTTAGTGCTGAAGAGAAGTCTTATTGGAGAAGTACTGCAGTCACTCTACCCAATGATCAAAGATGAAACAACTCAAATATGACTCAGAGTAGAAGGGGTTTGTGCAAGAAGATACAACCCAGGCTTTTTCTTCTCTCTCTTCATATCTGCTTCCCAGGACAAAGTGGTTCCCCAGCTAACACCCCAAAAGACGTCTTAATTGGCAATAATTATCCTCAGCATTTGGAATAGATACATACATTTTCAGATGTATTTTCTTACCTAACTCTGCAAGTTTCTAGAATAGAAATTGGTTAGACTATAAAACACTATGCTCACTGCATAATCCAATAAGAGATGTAAGAATGATGTAAGACTTCCACAGTATGCAAAGCTATTCTTATATATTATTGAATTTTACTATTGAATGATTAATGTAAAATACCAAAGATTGCTGGATTAATCCACTTCGGAAAGGTCTTTAAAAATTATTGAACAAGCATTTTCACTCTTGATTTCAAGTAAGTTTGAATGATTTTTTCTTTTTTTATGGAAAAACATTCAAGTTACTTTTTAGATAAAATGATAAAATGTTCTCCATAAGAACTATTGGAATGGATAGAATGAAATACAAGGCACTTGTGTCATTCTTGCAAATACAGAGACTGAAGATTTCATTAAGCATATTTACAAAAGCTTTATGTTTATTTACCATGATTTATGAATCTGAAATACATACCTATTGTCAGTAAGTAATAAAAACCAAAGCATTTCATGAGAACTTATTTTCTTAGGCTTAACATGTATGTGAAACAGAGTAACTCATTAAATACCTACTAGCATAGTTTTGGATGGAATACAAATAAAAACTAATGTGATAATGTTTACTAACATCTATTGTCACTAATCAACTTACCCATCAAACGCCTGGAGTTCACATTCTTTAAGTACTGAGAGAGCATGTCCTTCATATTCAGTTACTGTGGAAAATAGCATTATTTAATTATCAGAAGATGAGATAATTGTAAAGGGTTTTTAAAAATGTTATCCTTTTAGCATAAGGAACACACAGTAATTCAGTTCAGATTTTTTTTTTAAATCATTAAATGCCTTAAAAGTATGAGAAGGCATGTTTTATAGTTATGCTAGCTAAAAGGAAAAACATGCTAAAAATCACCTCCCATCAGACACATGGCTATTTGGTGCATTTAAATTCAGAGAATTAGAGAAGATGTTTGTTGCAACAGAATGCAAGTTTTAGCATTGATATAGTTGGTAAACTTCAGGAAAACAACCATATCCTCACTTAAGACTGAATTATTTCTGTATCAATCAAATTTAAGTGCCTTTGTGTTAGGATATGCAAATTGCTAAATCAAAAATATGAGGAGTTAAACACAGAAGTATGAAATCAAGCCAAATACCAGTAACAACAGAATATAACACACAGAGGAAGGTGGCACAAGCACACACCAGAGTTCATAGCCTCTGGAGAAAACGGATCTGTCACTCTACATTGATGTCTCTGTGTTTGCTGATACCCTATATAGTACTGTAAATGCCAGTGAAGACAGGATAAACTGGCATACTACAGATGGCACAAAGCATCGTAACTACATTTAGCATTTTCTAGGCCAGCTTTGCCAGAAGAGACAGCCCAGCTGCAGCCACCCATCAAAGATTTTTGCTGACTGACATGACACTTGCAGATGGATTTTTTGTGTAAGAATGTGCATCATTATATGCAAAATTACATTAATCTTTCATGCTTGTCTGTCCCTGGTGCTAGCATAGTTCAAGGCTTTTCTCCAGTGTTTCTAAACACTGTTAGAATTATTAGTCTTGGTGTCTAAAACAATCATTCCGTATCTGTACCCGTTATAACAGTAATTCTACAGACTTTTCAAATGCTGCTTACAAGAACAGAAATCTCTCTCTCTCTCTCTCCCCCTGTATTACACACACACACAAGAATGTGTGTATATATAGTGAGTGTATAATATACAAAATAAAAGTGATAAGATTTCTGTACTTCACACTAAGCAATTATATATCAGGATATAACTTCAAAATCTCCTAGACAGCATTAGCAAAATTCTAGTGGTTGGTGGTCTAGGAATTCTTAATTAAAAACTAGAGTTATTTTGATGATATCAAAGAATTATCATTTTGCTACAGAAATACCTATTGCTGAAATAGCTTTCAGGAATTATTTACAGAATTTACTTTCATACAGGACCTCTTCTGGAAGACCAAAGCACAGTATTTAAGCTATCATGCCATTCTGCCTTTACCAATGAGAACTATTATTTTATCATTATCTGTAGATTGTGAAAAATTACCAATAAAACCATGCATCATGCAAAAATGCAGAAAGGTTCAAATATCTTATTATTACCTTACTGTGAAAGAAACTCTTCCCATGAAAACATACAGCTGGTTACCAGGTTACATGCCTTTTAAATGAACATGATGACATTTAGAAAGTTATGAGTACAGTTCAATTAAAATAGTATGGTAAATAAGATTTTATTTTGTAGAAGAAAATATGCTCAGTGGTTTCCTAATGTAATGTATGTAATGTATGTTTATTATTACAAAATTAATTCGTACAAACAACAAGGACATGAAAATAAAGAAGCCTCATGTCTACAGAGAAATCAATAAAGGCTGTAAAAATGACTAGTGTTAGCCAGATTGATAGGGACTCCATCCTCTTTGCATCTAATAGCTTAAGTTTGGAAATTAGGAGGACTACTGCAAGGCTTACCACTTGGGATGATTCCAAGAAATTTAAAATTGGATGAGAGAATGACAGAAGTACACAATCTATTTTGAAACATTTTGGCAAAATGGTAATGAAAAAATTACATTTCCAGTAAAACTTGATGACAACGTATAGAAAACTGACCAACTATCATAGAATCATAGAATCATAGAATGGTTTGGGTTGGAAAGCACCTTAAAGATCATCAAGTTCCAACCTCCCTGCCATGGGCAGGGACACCTCCACTAGACCAGGTTGCTCAAAGCCTCATCCAGCCTGGCCTTGAACACCTCCAGGGATGGGGCATCCACAACTTCCCCGGGCAACCTGTTCCAGTGTCTCATCACCCTCACAGTGAAATATTTCTTCCTAATGTCTAGTCTAAAAACTAGGGAAAGCTTGAAAAAATTCAACACAAACATAAAAATATCACTTCTAAAAAACCTTTCTCCAGGCTTGGCAACCTCCAGATGGACATGTTAAAGTCATTCTGATACCTGGAAAAAAGCTAGATGTTTGAAAACCTGGTTCTGTTCCAGTTCAGGGGAAAGGGGGAAAAAAACCCCACAGAAATACCAAACAACAAAACAAAAAAAAACCTCACACAGCAAATTTTGGTAAGAGGAAGAAAGAGCTTCTTTCACAGTTTGAGAAGGATTCAGATTACATATTTAGCAAAAATATTATAATAAAAATATTATTTTGTCATTTTTTTCAACCATTTGTAATGCATAACTTAGAAAGTCTTCCTTTTTTAAAGACATTTTATTCCTAAATTCTAAATTTCAGTATACACGAAGTCCCAAGAAATAGCCTTCTGAAAGAAGAGCACTGACAGCGTAGCCAATGTGAAGAGAGTCACACATACTCCAAAACATTCTAACACCCTATCTCACGTAGCCAAAAAGAAACTAAGGGTAATGGCCCCAACATACTGAAAAAGCACCATATGATTAGTTCAGCCCTTCAAAACATAGGGCGTTTCCATATGACACTACAAATACTGGCACTCATGTCATAGACTAATGTCAACAGGACTAAAACCGCTAATGATAACAACAGATTAACTGGTGTTAACACTGGAGGACAAAAATAATATTAATATTATTTACTGAACAGTAAATTTAAAACAAGGTTAATTGTCCACTTCTCAATCACTTTCTTTTCTTTTGTGACTGCCTAAAAATCAGGGATGGTAGGGAGGGCACTACTTTTTTTTGCCTAAACATCCAGCTTGTAATTGTGCATAAATGGAAGCAGAAGAGACAAAACTAGAAAGAGAAGTGAGACAAGCTAGGAGTCTGTTGGGATTACCTTTATTTATTTTTCTTCAGCATGGGTTAGATTTTGCAAGATTCTAATACAGTTCTAAAATACTAGCTCCAGTCATCACTATTTGCTAGTACTAGGTATCCTAAATATGGAGTGAGCTTTAATTGAACTGAATTTTTAGAAGAGTCCCCATTCTTCTAGTAGCCATATCCCATCTGCAGCACTCAAGATTACCAAACTCTTAAAAAACTGCATAAAGGCTAGCTTTTAAGCATTGCTTAGCCTTAGTTACAGTTCAGTACTGTTACAGTTTAAATTTGCTTATTCCCACTTCCTACCACACTGAGCACTTCAGAGATTTGTTTTCTTCCATGTAACAAAAATAACCCCAAAAACCAGCACATTCCACTCTTTAAGACCAGTGGTTAATTTCACTAAAATTAATACATCTGTAGTGTGCAAAGCAATTTGGCAAAAACAGAAAACCCTACGAAATTTAAAGATAATCAGTGTACATGCTACTTCAGAACTCACTTATTTACATACGTGCCTTTTGACTGCTGTATATCCTTGAGAAGGAGAGAATACCTCTGCTCCAAACCTCTTAATAAAAAAAGTTTATTCCAAAAGAAGTTACAATGGAAAATAAGCTCTGGCAAGGTTGATTGTGTAGGAACCAAAACCACGAAATAGCAATAGCAACAGCCAACTACCAAAATATAAAATTGGATGAGAGCAGCTCTGTCTTTCAGCACTACACTGTCAAAGTGTTGTGTTGGTTTCTTTTTTCAGTATTCTGCAAGTTTTGTATTGTGTATGAGCTAGAAGTCACTTCAGAGATTCAAATTTGCTTTAAAATTTTTGTGTACAGTGAATTGTAAGCTTTAAACATATGTACATGAAAACACTAAAAGTAAACTATCTTCAGTGTAAAAATAGTACAAAAGCCTTCACCTTTCAGTACCTAGTACACCTTTGTACACCACTTTGTGTGGAAATACTGGTCACATTTCATAAAAGCAATAACAGCGAGATTCACACTCCAACTTCACAAAATGCAGAATAATTATGGGAGGAAAAATCTTGTTCAATGTACTTGAAATGAGGCACTTAGTTTTATTAGAAGATGGTAGCGGTTGACAGGACTTTCACTCTGCATTTCTTACCTCCCCCCCCCTTTTTTTTTTTTTTTGCAATGCATAGTTTTACTTCTCTACTAGCATTTAAAACTGTGATGTAGTTTTCCCATTTTGCCTGTAGGAGGAGTGTTAGGCAGCTAATAAGCACAATACTATTTGGACATTTGACAAAATAACCTTATTTTAAGGATAAGCCATTAAACATTTAACTGGTTAAAAACAGAAGTTTCTTTTCAAAATTTTAAAGAAAAATAATAAAAAAATAAACTTTTAACTATTTTTATTCAATTAGGAAAAATATCTTTAAAACACACTACAAATTATAGCTTATATTAAATTCTATTAATTAATCTAGAAAAGTATTGATACAGATTTGGTTTATTAGTTCAACTTTAGGATTCCAGGTGACACTAGATATCTAAATAAATATTTAATCTTATACAGGTTAATGATAATGCTGACTCTAACAGAGTTTAACAAACACGGTTATGTTCGTGGTAAGGATAAAAGAAACACTAACTAGTAGTAAGGAGAAAAAAAAAAAAAAAAAAAAAAAAAAAAAAAG